GTGCCCAGAAGCCATTACCACCAGTTGTTCCGGCTGCGTTTTCTGGGAGTTGCAGTCCAAGAACACCTGGGAACCATTGCTCTAGGATGACGGAAGCTGCTGAAGAAATGATTCGGTACAAATCTGAGCTGACGTAGGTCACAGTCTTTTGCTACCATCTCCAGGCTGGGCCATATCACTGGGCAGAGCGAGGCTGCCATCTTTGTCAGCCAATTCTGCATGTCATGAAAGACCAACAAATTAGTAGCTACTTATTATTTTACTCTCAGAGATGGGAAGAGGTGGGTGTTTTCTTCCTCTTGTTCCAGAATAACTTTGAGTTGAATGAGTGTAGGAGTGTCATTTGCTGCTCTGCCTTAGCACCAAAATACTTTGACTGGTCCCAAACATCCGTTTTCTCTCCTTTGCCACTTCTCTGTCTTGTTCTTTATTCTCCCCAGACATTGCAAGCATAAGTGACATAATAAAGCTAATTGTGAATCTACAGTAGACTCTGTTCAGGTCAGAGTTCACAAAAATGTACCTTTTTGGGCCACAACTTGAGAGGCAACTTTTGTATCTTCCATTCTTTGGGGCATTAAAAGACATTGCGAGATGCGGTTTTTCCCACACTGACTATCATAAACTAACCAAGGGATTGGTACAGTGATGTGTCTGATAAAACCTGGAAACCCATTGACATAGTGCTGTTTGTGATCGTAATGCTTTTTTTGTGCTTTCAATGCTAAACTTGCACACACGGAGCTGATGGGAGCAGAGCGGCTTCCCTTCCCCCAACAATCTCCTGCTGGGGAAGCACAAAGGAATGATAAGGAGAAGTGGGAGAGAACATGGAGCAGCTGTGGCCCCTTTGTGCCCGAGTGAGTAACAAGAAAGGGACAAAGCCTTCTGTTTTGAAGCTGAGATGCATAAACGTCTCCAACCTCTTGCAGAATGAAAACCAGCAAACCAGCAAGTTAGCTGCATGCAGTTTACATCACACTCTTTTTCTTTAGGACTAAGACCTGGTTTTAGATTGCTTAAGTGATTTATAATTTCATAGTGCCTTTGTATTATGTTAGTAGGTAAAGTACCACCGTTACGGGTCAGAGGGATTTTGTGAATGTTGGTGTGCATACAGTCATGTGAAAAAGAAAGTACACTTTCTTCGAATTCTATGGTTTTATATATCAGAACATAATGAAAATTACCTGGTCCTTAGCAGGTCTGAAAATGAAGTAAATAAAACTTCAGATGAACAACAACACATGACATATTACACAATGTCATGATTTATTTAAGAAAAATAAAGCTCTTGTACGTATTTATATATTATGTATCCCCCATAAATATTGTGTGGCATTTACTTCGCTTTTGATGGTTTTGCTGCTGCCCTCCTCGAGGTGTCTTGTGTGAAGACAGCCTAAAGCCATGAGAATAAGGAATTTAGCAAATATTTTTTTCCATCTCTGAGTCCTAAATAATATTTCTATTTATATCTTCTGGTGTTTGCAAAGATCATGTTCTTTTCAATAAGGGTATTTTTTCATTCAAAACAAATTCTTCTAGTTTGCCAAGTATGATGGGGGAATGTCTGTTCTTAGGAATGTGGGAGCATTACCAGGGCAATAAAAGCAACATAAAAATAGAACGTTTAAATTAGATGCTTCCAATACATTTTGAGATTTTGCTTTTGTAGCTGTTAAAATTACTTTTCATAAATCAGTTCAGTTGTGATGTGAAAAAGTTGGTCTACTCCAGATAACAAACCAGCCTGCTAATGTAACACTTTAAATGGGGATATTTGATTACTTGGATTATTTGATGGATTTCACAAAAATGGGTCTCTTCTTATTCACAGTTATATAAAAGACAACATGAACAATTATAACAATAATCAGATACTAGAATTTATGCACACAAGTCCTTGGCCAGCAGTACCAATACAAAAGTTGCTTGTAGAGTTTACAAAGGGTTTTTGAATAATCTGGCTGCTTTTGGATGTTTCACTTGTTGTGAGCCCCCCTGAGGCTTAGTTTTGGGGAAAAGGGAAAACAAAAATCAAATCCGTCAAATGTAGCTTGAGCCTGCCAGTTTGGAGGGAAGTAGATGTTAGAGGATTACACTGTCTTCATGCTGCAATATATTTTTAGAGGAGGAGATTGAAGATCCCAAGGAATTGGGATAACACACACTTCCTCACAAACTCCGCATGAGGAAATTGGCCTCCAGGCCTTAGAAGCTTGCTTATCTCGATCTAAGGGGTGGTGACAGGAAACGGGGTGGTCAAGCTTTAGCATATTTATAATATTACTAATCAAATCTTTTTTCCTTGCTTATTCTGTATTTAGTCCCACAGTCTTTATATAGGGTGCTTGATTGTTGGCTGTGAAGTCCAGTCAGAAAACTCTGTGATCAAAGAAATGAAGTTGAATAAATAAACAATTTGGAAGCTGACTGATGTATAAATAAGGACGAAAGCAGTATTAGAGTGAGACGGTGCGTGAGAGTGCATTGGGGAACAGTTCAGTTTTTTATACAATCGGGTCCCTGTGGAGCCCGAACCTCGGGTCAAGAAGTGTTGTTGGGAGTGCCATCCCACCCCAAGGCGAACGTAGGCACGCAAACGGCTCCTCCACCTTTTCCACTCAGATTGATACAGCCTGTGGATACTATTGACTTGGAACAGGGCATGAAAGGGTTATCAGTGGCGACACAGACGACTCGGATTTGGGCGGGAAAGGAAGGGGGGAGGGGGAGCCGGAGGAGGCAGCAGCCGGGGAGTGGGTCAGTTCCCCAGGAGATGTGATCCCGGGTGGATGGGAATGGGTGTCGATGCAGGACCCGTGGACCGGTAACTGGGAGCGGGTCCGGGTACCTAAGAAAGAGGCAGAGGAGAGGAGAAAGAGAGGAATGACCCCCCCGTCCCTCATACTGGGGAGAAAACGAGACCCGAGAGTGGAGACGTAAGATAAGGGAAGAAAAGGAGAGAATAGAAAGAGAAAAGGAGGAGAAGAAAGCATGGCATATGGAAGAACTGAGAAAGATGGGATACTACCTGGACCCTGGGACTCCCCGGGTGATGAGAGATATGTTCCCTGGGGATATACAGGGGACGAAGAAACTACCCCGTTACTGATGTCCCATCCTGATGACAGCGAACCCGGAGAACCCTCACAGGTTCAGGCTGGTCCATGGGTTTCGAGGTCAAGTAACCCGTTTGAAGAAGATTGGTTACCCCTGTCAGAGCCGTTGCTCCCGCAGGAGAAGTTTGTTCCTCATTTATTGGACGTTTCCATACCCATACCCCAGTTAATAAAAGAAGACAAGTTATCTGGTTATAAAACGTCTCCTGGTTTATTTGGTTCGGGGGAGGCAAAGACAAGCGAACCTTCACAGTCCCATGAACAGTTTGACAATATTTTCCATGTTACATGGAAAATTAATTATTGGACACTTCGTGTGGCCTGCGTTTGCTCAAGGACTTTAATTGTTTGCATTTGTTTCCATAATGTCCTGAGAGATGGCAACCCTGGCTGGCAAGAGGAATAACTAGTTCCTGAAGAAACTGTTTCTGTCCATTAAATTGTATGGTCTTCTCTTTCATGGGTGCTCTTTAAAAAGCTAATTAAACTACTCCTTTTGAGCTGGAGATGTAGCTTTAGTTTGATGGATAAAAGGCACCACTCCAACAGAAGTGTCGCACTTGGATATATATTTTACATAATTAATTTAAAGGACAAAAGGGTTTCCAGTTTTACAAATGCTATGCTTTTTTTTAGTATTGATTCTCCTCCCCCCCTCTTTTAAAAAGATTTTCAAAGAACCTTGGCTAAACCAATTTATACTTACTAATTGGTTTTGATACCTGGTCACTAAGGGATATAAAACAGTGTGAAAAATACATTAAGTCTTTAATCTGTGTGCTTCTGTCTTAATGACATCCTCTAAGTGTAATTTATGCCTTTAAAAAAAACTACACTGAGAGGAGGGAAACAGTCTCATGAGCATAGCAGTATGAGGAGGAATACCAGGTACTCCTGGTATATAAAATAACATTTATTAAATACAGAAATGTAACTGATTGACATTACTAGGCCAACTGGTGCTTAATGTGATTTTTGAACCTGGGATTTTTAATGTGCAGTACACTTGCTCTTCCATTGAGCTTTAGCCAAGCCCCAAGAAGATGGTGAAGCATGTGATGTGTCTTTGGACAAGCCTGCGTTAGTAGTCAGTTTGTGGGAATGTTGTCAAAAGTGAAAGATGCAGTGTGTAAGTTTCTCATACATTTTAGACTGGGTTCCAGAACTCGGTAGTGTAGTCCAAAAAAAGAGAGGAACTTTTCTAAACTCTGGTGAAATATATATGCGTTGCGTGCCATCAAGTAGGAACTGAGTTGTAGCTACCTTTGTAGGGCTTTCAAAGTAAGTGAGATATTTAAGAAGTTGTTTTATCATTGCCACCCTCCAGTGGCTTTCAAGAACTGAGCAGAGATTCAAATCTAGGCTTTTTGAGTCTGTCACTCTATCTAGTATGCCATAATGAGCATCGCCAGGTGAAAAAAAGCAGTGTATTAGGTGAAATATATTATATACCATATATTTTAATCAATCTTAATTGTTGTGGTCCTCTTGTACATAAGTGAGGATATGATCCAAGGGGATGTACATGGTATTCCATGTGTACCCTAGGATATATGCAGCTCTCATATACACCAGCCTGGCATGGCTCTTTCAGAAGTCACTGATTGCCAGGGATTTTCTGTGGCCACAGATGTCATTCAACGTTGTGAAAGGGCAAAGGTCAGCTACTGCCCCATTGTGTGCACCAACCTCATTACAATCCTGGTTTCAGATCACGCAGGTGTGAACCATGTGGGGCAAATGTGATGGAAAATGTTCCTGTCAATAACAAGAACATAGATTTTAAAGATCATTCTAAGACTCAGAAGGTGCACCACCAGACTTTAGTTTTTGTAAACAAGAAATTAATTCACATTTTATCCCTCCCTTCTTTAGATAAGACCCTGACACCAACATGGGAAAACAGAACAGCAAGTTACGCCCTGAAGTCATGCAAGATTTGCTAGAAAGCACAGACTTTACAGAACACGAGATCCAAGAATGGTACAAAGGCTTCCTGAGAGACTGTCCCAGTGGACATTTGTCCATGGAGGAGTTTAAGAAAATCTATGGGAATTTTTTTCCTTATGGGGACGCTTCTAAATTCGCTGAACACGTGTTCCGTACATTTGACGCCAACGGTGATGGAACAATAGACTTCAGAGAATTTATCATAGCTTTGAGCGTAACGTCCCGAGGGAAACTGGAGCAAAAGCTGAAGTGGGCCTTTAGCATGTATGACCTGGATGGGAACGGATACATCAGCAAGGCAGAGATGTTGGAAATCGTTCAGGTATGTACCACTTGCACTATGTTTGTGTTTAAAATGGGAGGGTTGGTGTTACAAATAATGACAGTGCCTTGAATCCTCCAACACTCTTGGCCTTCCATATGTTCTCTTCGGTAAAAAAAATGCACTATGTAAAAACCTGAAGAATGTTGTTTCAGCGAAAGGAGAAAAACTGGAATCTTTTTAGGTCTTAGAATGTGTGCATTTCTGGAAACTTATCAATTAATGCAGTGTTATGCATGATGTATGACTGTGTCTTATCTAAGTGCTTCCTTATTCTGGTTTACCATATCGAGCTGATAAATTCTAAATCTCTGCCAGCCAGAATTATCTTCATGGCCAAAGGGCAGATCTTTCTCTATTTCACTGCAAAGGGAAGACAGGTTTAATCCTGTGTATTTGAAACCAAGACCAGAACCTGCCATTCCTTGTGTGGACTAATTTGCTTCATGCGTAGCCTGTGTGTCTGCCTTTTGGCTGTTGGGTATTTGTGTGTATAGAAAGCTCAGTGAAGACTCAGTGTGATATAGTGGCTGGAATGCAAGACACAAGATCTGTTTTGAGGTACCCAATACTTTTACAGTTGTGCCCAGCTTAATGATTACCCCGCATTAGGACAAATCTGCTTCACAACGATGTTTTTGCGATCGCAAAACGATGTTTTAAATGGGTTTTTTTCAGTTTGCAAAGATCGGTTCCCTGCTTCGGGAACCGATTCTTCGCATTACGATGATCAAAACAGCTGATTGTCGGGTTCTCAAAATGGCCACCGGGTGCTCAAAATGGCTCCCCGCTGTGCTTAGGGACAGATTCCTCGCTATACAGGCACCGAAAATGGCCACTGTATGGAGGATCTTTGCTGGATGGTGAGTTTTTAGCTCATTGGAATGCATTAACTGGGTTTTAATGCATTTCAGTGGGTTTTTAAATTTCGCTTTATGACGTTTTCGCTCTACAGCGATTTCGCTGGAACGAATTAACATCATTAAGCAAGGCAGCACTGTATATAACTTCATATTTAGCCAGTGCTAACAGGCTTGCCAAAAATCCTATTTTTATGGAAAGATTGTTATTCAGTGTATCTGTCATAACTAGTTAGCTTGTCCAGACGGTCCTCATTTTGAAGATGGAGTTCCAGGCATAATGTTGATTTTTGTTACTTTTGACAACATAGAGTCATAACTGCAGCATTTCTTAATGAAAACATCATGGTTATGCATTTCCCATGATAATAGAGAGGACTGCCCCAGCATGAGTTGCTGCTCAGCATCTCGCAGCCCTAATTTGCTTCATACTGTTGCAAGCTCTGTACAACAGACACCTCTTCTCTGAAGATGTACGTAGTGCTTCTGAGTAGATTAAGGCTGCAGTCTGTGCACACTGACATTCTGAGGATTATATAGAAGGTGAGATATTTTAGACCATAGTTTTACAACTAAAATGGGCCTCAAGTTCCATAATTTTACAGAGGTGCTTGCAAAATACATGCTTTCCACAAAAATGGTGTCATTTTGGTGCTACTTGTAGGAGTTAATATATAAATGGATCAGAGATGTAACAACATTTTCACAGTAAATTCACTTTTTCCTGCTACATCTCTGATGTTTCTAGTTTTCATAAAGCAAATTGTGGGTTGCTCTCGACAACTAGGTTGCCCTCTTGGTTTATGCCAATACTTCCTCACAATCCTCTAATGTATATTGAACATATGGTTAAAATGTGAGGTGACAATGTAGAGAGTTAGAAGGTATTTGTTGTTTTCAAAAGATCTCATTATGTCCGTCATGAGATGTCATTGGGACTCACTCTTCTCTACCTGTTTATGGTAGCCTCTGTCAATTAGTTGGCGATCCAGGATGCGGAATTCATGCAATATGACATGGTTAGTATTAAAATCTTAATCAGAAAAACTGGTTTGTCTTGAAATGTTTAAATGAGAGCTGTCAAATGTTTCGAAAGTGTTTTATCTGTTGTTTTTCTACAACTGGAAATACTTTGATTGTTTTACAGACAGAAAGACAACACACACACACATACAGAGAGAGCGAGAGAGATAAAATATATATATATTCCATGATGAGTATCAAATTGTATGTTCTCATCCAGTAGAAAATAGTGATTGTAAAGAATTCTTTAACTATAAAAAAGGCCTTCGGTATAAAGAAGACATCGTCGGAAAACCTGAATAAGTTGGTAAGATGTATGAAGAAATGATTTCCTGCAGAATTCTTGGGAACCTCATAAACTGCCATGGACTATAGAGTATCCCATGAGACATCCTTTCAGATTGCCATTAGAAGCAGTCTTTGAAATATCTTATTTTTATTTATTTATTTTCTGTAATGCCGTTTTTACCATCATTATAAGAAAAAAAGGTTGCCATAAATCTCTAATATTAGTCAGTTACAATGTACACGGCCTTGGCCTGTGATGCATTTGTTCATAGGGAATTAGTTACCAAAATATCATTTCCCCCGCAATACAGATCATGTTTGTAAATACGGTATGTACAACTCTGAATAAAAGCTAGAATTACTGTTACTAGAAACAGGCAACACATTTTGATAGAGGGTTCCTAAAATTGAATCACCAACTGAGATGGCAGAACAATCCAGATATTGTTCCCATCCAGTCATATTTTGCTGGTTTGGGGCAAGGTGTAGAGCACCAGAATTCTCAAAGCAGGGCATGCAATGCCATGTAATGTAACAAATGCCAAATAATGGCAAGAATCCTGTTGTGTGGTTACACTGGCAGAAGGGCAGCTGCAGAACTTTCAGTGGCAGATTGCTACTGATTGAGTCCCCAATTGCATTCCTTGTCAGGCACCAAGTCACTGAATTGGCCAACAATGAGGAATCCAAGCAGATGCTTGTTAATTCATAGCATTTCGCTGCTGTGAGTAACACCACTGTCCTTCCTCTGGCATAGCTACGTAACAGGATTTGGGTCAATATATAATAAAATCTCCAGCACAGTTTAGTAAGGGAAATTGGATGAGTGCTGTTCTACTGGATGAGTGATGATAATGATTTGTGTGTTTTCACACCTTTAGGGTAATTGACCAAGTTGCATTTTGAAAAAAGCCAGGGGATGTTTGGCTTATGTTTTGCATTAAAGCAAAATATGTGTATTAAGTGCAAGTCACTTCCCATTTACATCAATTCTAGTGTGGTGTTCAAAGAGTGATTTACTACAGCTACCACATAGTGAGTTTCTGTTGCTGTGTGGGGATTGGAGGCCAGATTTCTTACGATCTAGTCTGACATTTTATCTAGTACAGTATATCCCACTGGCTCTGTCAGAGCAAAATATCTACTCTGATTTGCTATTTAAGCAAAACCTCAGAGGATCTTCTTGACAAATAAAAAAAGAATCTCAATAAGATTACCAAAATAAAATAAAGTCCTGGAATACTGTTACTCGTTTCTGCATAGATGATAGGGGTGTTGCATTTGTAGCTGTCAATACATGCCAATTGGGAAAGGAAGTTTTTCATTACCATGTGACACAAGTATAAACCTCATTGTTTTCAACAGCGTGATCTCTGGCTTGCATAACTGCAAGCCAGAGGTTGTATGAGAATTGCACAGCAGTTACATTCCACTGTTACATATAGAATTGTATTATTTAACATGCAGTGTTCTTTTATTATTAATGTTACTAAGAACGACAAGATTTCTTTCCCACCTGGTTCCCTTGTCAATCTTTGGTACAATACTCTGAACTTATAAAAATTGCATTGACATGAACTTTTATAACTTTCTTAATTCTTTCTTTGCTCATATGGAAAGGCACTGTACCAGATTATGCATTTTTGTGAAAGATCTGTGCTATGATATTGCTGTTGTTTTCCATGTTCTTTCAATAAAGTAAAAGAAATACAACCTAATTAGGATTCCTACTCTGGTTCTACGGATCCCACAACTGTTTCCCTTGAAATGAATTTCGATATGACCAGCAAAAGTTGTTCATGTCCCTAAACTAGATCAGGTGTATACTTGTGTGTATTAAGTACGATTATGCTACTGAGGAAGCTAGAAGGAAAAGCATGAAGTAAGCACAGTAGGCTTCACAGCCTTTCCCTTGGGGTAGAGCAGCAGGCTTGCTTTATTCATTTTGCATGTCCTAATACAGTTTATAGAACATTCTTTTATTTGAAACTTTGTATGTATCGTTTACATATATGACCTTTCTTGCATTAATAATGTTAAGATGAGGCCTGCACCTGCTCAATGGATGTGTACTGCCATGTGTACATGCAATAAAAGATGAATGTTTGTGTGTACTAGAACCAAGACATTTGTTCATGTGTGAAACTCATGATGTGTGCGATGTCCTTTATAAATTCGATCCATGCAAAACAGAGTAGCAGGTGTGTCATCTGACATTCGTTCTCAAATAGGAAACCAAGGAATGCTGGGGACAGCGTGACAGCACCTGAGTTTGTCCTTACAGTGCTATCAACCAGAAAATTGAATGTCTGCACAAATATGGATTTGTTATTTTCAGAAATTCCATTCATGTCTGACATCTGCTGCTGTGCTTATCATCACATTCTGTGTATTTTTTTAAAAAAACTAGGTTTTAGATTATTTTGGCATACCTTTCATGTAGTCTGCCTTTGAAATCTTTTTAGCAACTTTAATAAGCACAAAATACAGGTCGATGCTTTTCACTCGTTCTTTTCCAATTTGTTTTATCTCACAAATGGTCAATGAGCTTAACTAGTAATCAGTTGATTCTTGGATGCAGGCCTAAAATCATGAACTTTGTGGAGAGGAGGCACTTCTCATCATAACTCCAAAAACCCTGTTTTTTTTGTGTTTTGTTTTTGTTTTTGTTTTTTTTGGAGTTACCTATCCCTGGCAAGTATCTTATCTTTAGAAGATGTTCTTCTCTTCAGACTGTTACTTTCCAGTGAGCAAAGCAACAGAAGAGAGGCAAACCAAGGATGCCCCACTTTCTTATGCGTTCAGTTTAACCTTCAGCGAATGCTTGAAGAGGCTGAAGTGAGGTTTTAACTTATGCTGCTTAGATCAAAGATATTGGAAGCACCTGTCTGGTTTCTAAAATCATCGTCAGAGATCAAACCAGGCTCCATTCACTCCTTGGAAGAATGTGAATACCAGAGATCACGGCCCTATAATGGGATTAGGGGATCATATTTATTCAACATGTGAAGTGGGGTTAAGCTTGACACTTTAGTCACACAGAAGCAATAGATCTGAAGCGAGGACATTTATCTACTTTTGAAGGTTCTGCAGGTCAGCCAGACTGTGGGGAAACTGAGGCTGTGGCAAATGAATGAATTGCTTCCACATGAGCTAAAAAAACAATGAAAGGCGTCTCCCTCTCTTTCCACGTTGAATAAACATGCTGTCTTAGCAACTTAATAGAGCAGTGGTTCCCAGTCTTGGGTCCTCAAAAGTTCTTGGATTAAAACTCCTAGAAGCTTTCACCACTAGAAGTGCTGGCCAGGATTTCTGGTAGTTGCAGTCCAAGAACATCTGGGACCCAAGTTTGGGAACCACTGGAATAGAATAGCAGTCTTCGTGGTGGTAGTGTTCCAGTAAATGAATTATCTACCTTTATCAGTTCACCTGCCTGTGATGCTGAATTAGTGATGTCTCATACCCAGGTTGAAACTGTTTCACTCACTCACTCACTCACTCACTCACTCACTCACTCACTCACACACACACACACACACACACAAATCCCCACCATACCCCTGCATATAGCTGAACCCATAACCATGTGTTTAATATGCATACCTGTATTAACTAACGCCTTCTGGACAGCAGCATGTTCCCTGTTCACCTTGGCATTCTGTTGTATGTGATGTGAAAATAGACAGGTTTTGACCATACAAGATCTTGTGGCCCAGGGACCCCTTGCCTGTCTGGGTAATGAAAGAGGCCTTTGCTTAGCCTAACTCCTAAAAGTCACCCTGGGTGTTTTGACAGTCCGTGGACTGGGCTATTGCAGAGAATGGGGTTGCATAGCCCTCCAGAGGGAAGCCACCCCAAATCTCCCATGAGGTTGGGAGCTGCAGGCCAAGAGGGCCATATGTCTGCCACCTCTACCCTTGAATAGTCTCTCTGAGTACCTACACAACTCTTTCCTGTATCTGTCTTTTTAGGCAATCTACAAGATGGTTTCTTCCGTTATGAAAATGCCAGAAGATGAGTCAACGCCAGAGAAAAGGACAGAGAAGATCTTTCGTCAGATGGACACTAATCGAGATGGTAAATATCCTTGTGTATGTCTGTCTGTTTTTAACCAGCTTCGGTTTCTTCTGATCTCTCTGATGGCCATGGCAGAGTTGACTATATAAACAGAAGGGTACTATTGTAAACAGCAAGTTGCCTTCGAAAATCTGTGATGTTATGGTTCTGTTGCTGTTGTTAACTGTGCGTATTTGTAGACCTGCAGCTGGCCCATTTCTTATTTAAGCAATAGGATTTGAGGGTAGGCCAGCAAGATATCCACTCCAAAGATTAAGGCTGTAATGGCACAATGGGAAGTGTCTTGGAGATACAGAAGTGTGCATTATATCTATAGATAAGCTTGTCTCTGCTCCTAAATCCAGGCTGGGAAAGAATTCTAAATGTTTTTTTTTCCAAATGTAAGTTAAGATATCCTGACACCCTAAGCTATGTTAACTTTCTGAGGTCCCGTAACATTATCCTAACAGGTATTTGGAATTATTCAGAGACTTTTCACGTGAGCCCCATGAGCTGCAGCTTATGTCGCTTGTGCATAAATCCAGCACCGAACTGCACCCAGCTTTCCAAGACTGTACCTTACTGTCACTCAGGGCTATGTGAGATTTTACTAAAATCTGTAAAAAAGGACTGACAGACATGTCAGTAAAACAAAATCAAGCAAGAATTTACTTTCCAAAATAGACAATGTTGCAAACTGCCATCAGAAATATATATATATATTTAGCTACAAATATGTGCCATTACAAACTCCTGCCAACCTAGCTATTCAAATGCATGTAAAAATGCGAGTAGATAAATAGGTACCACCATGGTGGGAAGGTAACGGCGTTCCGTGTCTAGTCGCGGTGTCCATGTGACCACAGAAACTGTCTACGGGCAAATGCTGGCTCTACGGCTTGGAAACAGGGATGAGCACCATCCCCTAGAGTCGAACATGACTGGACTAAATGTCAAGGGGAACCTTAACCTTTACCTTCGTGCCATTATGAATGTCATGAAGAAGAAGAAGAAATTTAGTGTAGTTCATCTCTGTTCAGGAAGAAACAGTTAATAGTTTCCAGAGGTGATGCGGGTGCAGAAATTCTTTATGAGCAGCTATTGAGTAGCAGCACTACTGGAGCAGAGAATCTTTCATAGACAGTGGCAGCTGTACTCAAGTTAAACCTTGTCAGTGGTGTGCAAAAGAAAGCAACAGAAAACCATTTCTGAGTACTTTGTACCTTGAAAAAACCTACGATGGAATGTTCCACACAAAGCAAGAGATACTGGAAATAAAGTCAGAAGGAACAGTATAGTTGTAATTGGGAGCTGAAATGTAGCACAGGTTCTTAGGGGCCATAATGTAAATAATATCATTAAGATTTCATGGAGAACCTAATAACCAAATCATCATTCAGGTCTGTGTTCCAAGAACAGATGCTGAAGAAAAATGAATTGAATGTGTTTATGCAAGTATTTAAGAGGAGACTGGCTACACATCATCACAAGATATACTGATAATCATAGTTATCAGAAGTGCAAAAGTAGGAAATGAAGTAGAATACTGTTGTGGTAGTAGTAGAACTTAGCTTACTGTGCATAAGAAAGCAGTGGTAAGCCAGTTCTGAATATTTTATACCTCAAAAACCATGTGATGAAATAATCCAAAAGGGAGGCCTGGAAGGAAAAAACAAAATCAGTTTGATTATGATTATGATGTCTTATATCGTTGTTGTATTTAAAATTGTTTTATTTTATATGTTGTACGCCACCCAGAGTAGTCTATTGACTAGATGGGCCAGATATAAATTCAGTCAATCAATCAATCAATCAATCAATCAATCAATCAATCAATCAATCAATCAATCAATCAATCAATCAATCATACTGGAAGGGCAGACATTTTGCTGGGAAGGCACTCAATCACATACTAAGTGAGAGCAAAACTTAAGTACAAATAGCACTTTGTAAGGAAGCAACTGAATTAAATCAATGTGCTGCATTGCACGGAGGCAAAAGGAGAGAGTCTGGTGCTGCAGGATGCATATGGCTGGCACACAGAATGTGAGAAGTATGAATCAAAGTAAACTTGAAGTCACTAAACAAGAAATGGAATGTTTGATGCTGGCACAATTGAATTGCAGTGCACAGAGTCCCGGGTTTAATGTTTAACATTTCAACTTTTAAAAGTTTCAAGTATCAGATGAAGTAGAAATTCTGTCTGAGGCTCTGGAGTGAGGATGCCAGATAGATCAGACTACACTGGAGTAGAAAAGAAGTGGGCAGCACTCCTTGGTGCAGGGGGCAAATGTTGAGATCCTGCCAAATCCTGCCACCAACAGGAGTGGTGCCACTGCCACAATCCGCTCATCACTGCCTATGCTCACCACCCTGAAAATTCAGCAGCAGTTATGACAGTTCTCTGTGGCGTAGCAGAGTTCCAAAGAATAGCCCTATGACACACCATAGAGCCTTGCAGACTAAGAAGGCCGGGAGTCTTCTTTCCTTCCAGTAGAGAAGGGACGACAGACAAGAATGATTTGGCATTTTTTAACACCATGGATCTGCTGTCACTGGTAATTTTGGCAGTGGCAAATGGCATGGTTCAGTGAGGCAACAAAAAATGAGGAGGGGGAGGATATATACACACCGTTATTTTTCGCTCCATAAGACACACCTTTCCATAAGACGCACCAAATTTTTAGGAGAAGAAAACAGGAAAATATAATCTGTTTTCTTCGCTCCATAAGACGCACAGACTTTCCACCCCCCTGTTTTGTGGGAAAAAAGTGCGTTTTATGGTGCAAAAAATACGGTACCTCAAAAAACGTGTGTGTGTGTGTGTGTGTGTGTGTGTGTGTGTGTGTGTGTGTGTGTGTGTGTGTGTAAAGATTACAAATACAAAGGTACAATGGATGGTGGCAAAACAGTGACATTCCAATATTCACAGAGTATAGGTGATCAAAAACCAAATCAGGCTCTGAAAGGCCTGTGTCAAGAGCCACGTTTTAAGTTGTTCTCTGAAGCTAAAGAGAGAAAGAGCCAGTCTCACCTCTATCACAGGAAAATTCCATAACAATGTGACCACCACAGAAAAGGCCCAGTTTCCCATTGTTGATTTCTGAGCCTTCCTCAGGGTGGTCACACATAACATTCCAGTATATGAGGATAGGTGGTCACTCTGAGGGAGATACTGTAAGTAGCAAGGTCCATTTATTGTTCTTTACTTTTAAATCTGGCCAGAATTGCAGCTTCCCTTCCTCATTTCCACACCAACATTCTTTTCCTCTCTCCTTTTTTTACCCCCTGGTATAGTGAGTGGGTCATGCAGTGTGCCATACCAGGGCAGGCCAGGAGATATAACTGACAGTACTGAAGCTGTGGTCGTCTCATCTCCCAGTTCAGTCTTGTGTTTAGAAGTGTAGCCCGGAGACTCCATCCTCTGATGCTCTGAGTTGGGGCTCCATTGCTGGTAGCAACTACATTTACTTCCCCCCACGTTTATGACAGCCAAGCAATGTTTACATGTCTTGTACTGACAGGTGTGTAGGACCGTACAAACAAATTGGTCACAAGAAGATTTATACATTTGCAGGAGTAAACTTTGTCTTAATTAAGAAGGGAACATTCAAAAAGTGCAAATAATCTTGTGTCTCCTAACCAGAAATGTTATGGACTTAGAAGGACAATGTAAGGGAAACAGTTCAGTTAGTTAACAGAAAAATGTGCACATAGGAAAAAGAGACACCTGTGCAATGCTTAGATAAGGCTATATGTACAGCCAAAGTTGCTGTCCTTTTTCGAAACCTGAATTGGGGGGGAGGTCACATGACTTTACAAATATGCTTAAACCTTATGCCTTGCCTATTTCAGAACTTCAAACCAGCATCTCTGTTTATTTTCCTAGGAAAACTTTCTCTGGAAGAGTTTATTCGAGGAGCCAAGAGTGATCCATCTATCGTCCGTCTCCTTCAGTGTGATCCCAGTAGCGCTGGGCAATTCTAAACAAGTTGCTTGGATTATTTTGTGTCTCTGGTTTTTTTGTTTGTTTGTTTGTTTTGTTTCTCTGTTTTTGTTTTGTTTTGTTTTCCTCTTTCTTGCCAAAACAACGTTCATGGTGGTGTTGCCTCTGTATGGCCAGCTATGCCTTCCTCCCTCTTTTTTTATGGCATCTTTCACTTTCTTTGTGGAAGATCAGTCAGTCATTTTTTGCCGAACGCTCTCCAGCACTCGGGAGACTGAGAGAGAGTACAGTCTGTGCAACAGAATCTATTCCTCTCTCCCCCCCCAAGCTGTTGTAAAGATCTGCAGCCTGGTCCTGAAATCTGTTTACCCAGGAGTAAATCCCACTGAGTATTAACAGGACTTATATCCTAGCATGCTTAGGTTTGAAGCCTTAAGTTTTGTTTTGTTTGTCAGTTCTGAGCCGGAAAAAGAAAACGAGAAAAAAAGGAAGCAACACAGGCTGTGTCCCCAAACAGGGCTGGGGGGGGGAGGAGGGCTTCCATGATGCAGGAAGTGCCCGCTGCATTCATTCCGATACCAGGGAATGCTCAAAAACAGTCTCAGACATTGTAGTGAATGAAGATGTTCCAAGTGCACAACAGAAATGGCACACTTAAAATTTGTTTCACAATCCAATGTACAGCCAAGTATACACAACATGTTACAGAGAGTTTAGGAAAATTACTCTCTCATTTCCCAACTTGGACTCCCAGAAACCCCCTGCTAACATGCCACTGGCCATGGGGACGGGGGGGATTTGGGGAGCTGCGCTAGAGGTAGAATGCATTGACTCTCCTAGGGTCAAATTATACATTACAGACAACCTCTCATTGAAAGAGGGAATTTCTTAAGTGCTGAATGCCTGTGATTGTAGGAGGAGGAGCCTTCCCCCCCCACCGGACATGGCAACTTCTCTTGCTTTATTTTTTGATTGGTCTTTGGCATATAAGGATGCGCTTTGTTTGCGTGTCTGCTGTCACAGAGGCGAAAGCGTGCTTCATTCACTTTCCCTGATTTCAGCTCTAATGAGAGGTTGTTAGTGAGAGCTAGTTTGGCCCAGAGAGGTAAGCTTACAGCTGCCTTTGCAGCCAGCCCTTCACTGCTATTGGGCAACTGTGTGAAACCTGGGTGCGAAACCTGAGAAATCCTCAGCAATCCGTTGTGCTTGTCAGGTTTTGCTCTGATCATTGGCTGCATTTTCCCACCCAGTCTGAATGAGATGGTTAAAGGGACCACTGGGAGGATGGGTACAAATCTCATGCGCACACAGGGACTTTCTTTGCAAAGGTGCGAGTTTTATGGTAGAAGAAGGCGGGGACCAAGGAGAAGTGGCAGGGACTAGTTGCTTCCCCATGCTGATTCGTTGGCACCACAGAGGGGAAAAAATCCTACCCAAATCCTGCTTCTGCTGGGTGAGCAGGGGAGGACAAAGATGCAGGTTATGTGGCTGCATTTTAAAAACAGCAACCTTGACCGTTCACCTGAGGAGAGGGAGGACAGAAGAAAAAGTCAAGTTGAAACTGTAACCTTGATGATCAATGATCGTTTGCGAGGGATCAGGAAAGAGAATTGTGCCTGCTGAAAGCTGGGTTATGGAAACCAGATTGAAAGGGAAATGCATGTTTTGGTGGGTGGATGATAATGAAGTGGCTTCTACGACTCAAAAGACAGGAAAATGACAGGACTTAGTGGTCAACATTGTTTCGAACGCACTTGCTTCTTTTCTCAGTCCCATTTCAGAAAAGAACGTTGAGGAGAATTGGGCGAATCTACTGTATTCCAGTAAATGTGTTTCCTAAACGTATCCTAGCCCGCTTATGTGCAAGCCCAGGAAAGCGGACTTAGGGACGATGCTTTGTGCATCCGTAAGGTCAGTATGTTCTGACCAAACCCATTGCCCTCTGCAGTTGTAAATGTAAGTTGTAAATGTTAGGTGGCAGAAAAACAGTTAAAAGAAGAAGAAAAGAGAGGGAAACATCCTCAGAATGATCTGCCCTAGCATTAGAATTACTGGCATTAACTTTGTATCGTGTAGCTTTGCTTTGCAGTAACTGGCGAGAAAAGATGTTGGATGTGTATGAGAAACAGCAAGGGGAGCAGGGGGTCATTTCAGGTCACTTAAAATTACAGCTCAGTTTCAAGCCACTGAAGTGGCTGATTGCCACGGGGGGAAATCTCATCAAAAAAATTTATTTTCACTCCAGCAATTTTTGGTTTCTAATGTATTTTGGATTCCAGACATCATCCTTTGATCTCATCTTGTCTTTCTACTTTCACAAGACCGTCTGAATGACACCTTGGAAACAATTGTGTTAATCTGTTGTAAAATGATCATCCAGAACTTTTTGTGGCACACCTGACTCCCAAGAGGGTGGGGTGGGGTGGGCAAAGGGAACATTATAACCAAGGACTGTTTTAAATATAAAATTGTAGGTTTCCTACTTTAGTACAGCTTCTAGGTTTCTACTGAAACATGGAAATGGTACAATTTGTGATATATTTATATACTTATATATATATATAAATATTTTTTAAAAATATACAGAAAAAGGTATAGGAGAAAGATACTGAATGTTTTACATTTTTTGCCTGAAGGCAACTGTTCTGATTCCTTCCTTCCTTCCTTCCTTCCTTCCTTCCTTCCTTCCTTCCTTCCTTCCTTCCTTTCTATAAACCCTTGATGGAGAAAGTTGAGGTCAATGATCATAATTTCAATCCTTTTGGAAGCAACATTTCAATGATATTTGCTGAACTGCAGTTTTGCTGCCTAGTAAGCTGCAGGAGTGTAGATGTTTGGATATTAAACATTACCTATGGCCATATAGGTGTTGTCTTTGTAGACCAGGGGCTACATCTTTTGGTCTGTCCGGTTGTGTGCATGTGGCATGTCAATTCCTATGTGTGTTGGGACAAACTCCAAGGTTAGATCAGGGAATCACATCTCCAGGCATAAGGAAGGAAATGGGAAAATCCTAGATCTGGGAAACCACTTTTGAGAATTTAGCATGTGTTAGGAGATGGATCGATGCGTGCTCTGGTCCATGGCGTCACAAAGAGTCGGACACGACTTAACGACTGAACAACAAACGGGGATGGATGGGACAGATGGTGATTGGCCCCTCATTTTTGTGTTTGTGTAACCAAGAAAAGCAGAATCTTGAACTCTGAATTCTTGTAGTAAAGGGCAGTTCACCTCTACTCTTATTTTATATATGGATGGAGCCAACACTTGGAGTGTTGTTCTCTCACATCATGTTTGGCCCTGAGGTAGCAGGCATCCCTACAGTCGACATTAATTGCATGTTATCACTGGTGCAGGCCCAAATGATTTGGCTGCCCAACACAAAGGGCAACGTGGTGGCCCCTTCCATTTCAAATCAAGAAACCAAAAAGGTCTGCAGTTGATTTTTACTTCAACACTGGCAATGGGAAAGGCCTGGCCATAGCAGCTGTAGGCAGCACACTACCTTTATTTATTTATATATTTGATTTATATCCAGCCCATCTGGTCTGGTCGTACCCTTTGGGGTACAACAGATGGTGTGTCCCACTAGTTTATATCCCGCCCATCTGGTCTGGTCATACCCTTTGGGGTAAAACAGATGGTGTGTCCCACTACCTGTGTCCTCCAAGTGAGGTGAAATAGTGTGTTGCTTCTCTCCACCAGCTTGCTCAAGCAACAACTTCCTATATTGCTTGAGGAAGTTGCCTCAAATTATACAGTGGTAAGACCAGTCCTGGTTATCAGTCTATATCCCACCAACACGAGTCAACTGCTTCTCCATACTGCTCACAGTTTCATACACCACCACTGTGTTATCATTCCTCCCCAACTTTATTTCAGAGCTAAGTAGTCCCACCACAGCAGTCCTTCTCCAGAGAACATTGAAGTATATCTACACTACATGGTTCTAGCAACTTGGTAGCACTTTAACTGTTGTGGCTCCATTCGGTGGAATCTATAGCCTGGTGAGAACCCTAGAATTCTCTGCAGTATTTTAGAAGAGAACACTAGATACCTCACCAGACTACAATACCTCACTGGACTACAAACCACAGGATTTCATAGGATGCAGCTAAAATTATTAAAGTGGTTCTGTCTATGTGGACACACTAAAACATGGCTTGTGTTGATACACTAAAACATGGCTTAGTGTCATATACTCAAGATGACTAACTTGTGCCACAGACTTCAGAGGATCTTAGTGGGATGATTCCCGTGTGACCCTGAGCTTTTCTTCACAGAATAACTGCTTCATGTCTTGATTTATTTGCTGTCCAGTCCTCTGCATGTCTACTCAAAAGTATGTCCCAGTGAGCTTAGTGGTAGACTCAAACCTTGTTTCTAAGTAAACACACATAGGGTTGCAGCTGTAGCTGGTGTTTTTTGCTATCCCCCCACCCCAAATTCTGTAGTATGCTTTCCATAGTTTTTGTGAGATGGGGGCAAACAGGCAGAACTGCATTTTTTTCTAGAGCTTTCTGAGCAACTGAAATATGAAGTTAACCATCACTCACAACTAAGGGAGGTTTATTGACCAAACCCTGCTGCTATGCATCCTTCATTTACACCCCTGGACATAGAAGAATTCAGAAGCAAGGTACAGCAATGGAAATGTGAATGGTGAAACAAAATCAAGAGCTTTTCTCTGTCTCCAACAGCTTGTTGCTCTCTAGAGGTCAATCCTATTTGAAATGGACAGATACTGTACTGGGAAAAATATAATCAATTGATGTCCCCATTTAAATAAGGAGCTTGCTGCATGGCATTGTACATGCAAACTTCATGGCTGGGTCCTTCATCCAGGCTAAACCACCGACTTTTCTAATTGCTCATAAACTCTTATACTTGTCATTCTCAAGCTCTTGCATTTACTGCTTATAAGCCATTCCAGAAGCTTGTCTTCATGAGTTCCACAGGTCACTACACAAAGTATCCCACAAGCCATTGCACTGCACATTTACAAGCCCATAAACATCTCCTTGACTGCATTAGAGTTATACTGCTCAGCTTAGT